AATCCAGCACTTGTAGATGAGCTGTAATATGCATGGATGTGACAACGCCTAGCTGTAGCCATGACATGGGAAAAATAATGACATTTATGAAGAAGGGGCATAAAGTTATCAATACACTCATACCACTTCTCTCGATTGAAAATAAAAATGAGAAAACTATTTTACATAGCCAGCCCCATGGAGCTCCACTTCACCCACTTCTTTCTGACTGTAACCAAATTATGAGAGGTGTGTACAGAGATGTCCTGTGAAGTTGTAGGGAGAAGCCCCTGGGAAACTTTCTCTGGGGTGGAAACCATAGATCTAATTTGACATCATCCCCATCTGTTATGCCCACACTACATCTTCATGAGATGAGTGGAAACAACTAGAATAATATTTTTATACCATTTTGCGCAAGTAAAAAGATAGAAAACCTAAGTTGAAAATGAGCCAGAGTATGAGTGCTTAAAAACTTGGGAACTAAAGAGGATTTAAGTGGAACAGGGGGGCTTGCTGCTGGGTGAAAAATAACAGTTGCCTGGCTAACAACAAGCAGAGTCAGATGAACCAGATTTGAAGGGAATAATTCAGGTGTTTAAACATAGGCAGGTATTGCTTTCAAGATTTGCTAAGGCATCCAAGCCACCTGCAGTGTTCTGGAAGGGATGATGCAGAAAATACAGATAATTCACCCACCCATCTGGAGCAGCAGCTGAAGGCTGGAGTAACCTCAGCAACATCTGGAATACTGGCACTAGATACCAGCCATTTAGATGCCAGAGTCCTTGGTATTTCTCCCTAAATTCAGGACTTCTTTTCTTCTCTGAACCTAAACATCTGAGATGATATCTCATGGCTGGTTGTCGACATCCACAGACTGACAGCTGGCTGAGAATAAAGGATCAGCCAGCAGTTTCACTTATTGGAGAACTATGACAAAGCCCTACTTTACCATGGATGGGGGGTAGGTCATATGTTTCTGGCTGCTGGTAGGGGGCTTTCAAGAGTCTGAGAAGTTCTTCTAGACCAGCTGAAGGCAACAGGAATGGGGAAGAAGGCAGCTCAGTGGGGTGAGCAGGGAAGGGCTGGGAGAGATGATGGCTGCACTCAGCCCATCCCTAAGCATGTGGTTTTGACTGATCCTTCAGCAGGGAAATGCCCCTATCCAGGCATTAGCATGAACTTTGCTTACAGCCTTGTAAGCCAGCATGATCTATTTCCACATCTTAGAGATGAAGCTCCTCAGGGGAAAATCTGGAATTTTATTACCATGCAAATCCAGTTGGGATGCTGCTCTCTTACTTCCCCATCCCCCCATACTTCCCTTCTCTGCCTAAAAATTACTTAGGTGTGCAAACATACTTTTCCATATTTCCTCTTGAAGAATCCCAGAAGCATTATTGGACTTATGCAGATGGGTATAGTCATTTAACTCTCTCCTTAAATATTAAAAATCCACACCCTGAACTTGGCTGTCACATACTTGGCTCCTGCTCTTGAAAATATCACCTTTTTCTCTGGATTTTTTTGAATAGTGTGTAATTATGATGGTTTTATTTATCTGTTTATTTTAAACAGGCTAATTCTTCACAACAACACAAAAGATAAATTCAGACTCAAGATGAAAAAAAATTCATCTGTTGGGTTCTGCCTCTGCATCCTTTATGCCTGTGGCAGTTTATTCTTCAGCAGAAGTGTCTCATTACTCGATTTGGCAGCCCGTAGTCAACACACAGTATGCTAAGCTCCACATTCTGGTAATTGCTGCTAAATGTTCAATTTTTTCATTCACAACCACAGTGGGAGCCGTTTTATAGTAGAGGAGATGTAAATACCATTTAAAAAGATCAAAAGGTGAGTCAGAAACTTATCTAAATCCCAGTAGCCCCAGATAAAGTCTGCCCCATTGCTATAAATAGATTACCACAAGTAATGTAGGGAGAGGGTTGGTTATGACGGGAAACTTGTATCCTACAAAAAGTTCAGTCTATACCAAACTCAAAGATTTTTTCTGATAGTTAAAATATTTACATATAGCTGTGAGTACAAGGAAACCATTCTATGGTATTTAGACAGGAACAAAAGAAAACACAGGGTATTTCAAAAGCATTGCTGTTGCCTACCTCTTCTACTGCTGTGCAAATTTCACTACTTTTATATATATTATTTCAACTCCAACACATACAATGCCAACAGATATAATCCTAAAGGCATTTGCAGCTTGAATTTCTTACATAAGGATCGTAAATCTAGGATGGGAAGCCTGAAATCGTTAAAGTCACATATTTATAAAATCATATTCAATTAGGTTAAAAAAGTGCAATTTCTGTCATCATGTCATAAAAAGATGTGTTTTTCTCTCAGATCTACTATAAAGAAAAGGTCCCTATATTGTTACAGATAGAGGCTGTTTTCAATCAGTTACAAGAAGCAATCCAATTACTGGATGGTTTAGTGCAGTAACTGACTCCAGACTAATTTAATTTCTTTAGGTCTCTAAAGATCAATTGATCTGATTTGTTTCCCTCCCCAAAGGCTCTTTAGGAAAAAGCAGGCTTAAACACTTGGAAATGAAATACAAAGCTCTGTGTGCTTTCACACTACTTAGGTCATTTGGAAAAGCTAGAACTCAGGATAAATGAGTGCTGTCTTGGCCCCAGCACCATGGGATGCTTTACGGGAGGCCATTAGGATCACCACACCACACTGTAGATTACACATGCACGTGCTGAGTGCACACCTGCTGAGGGAGCTGTGCAGGGAAAGTAATTTCACAGCTTCTAGAGAACTGTTCAATTTTCAAGAGCTGTGCAAGTGTGTTTTTGCCTTCACAGTCTTTTCTCTGGAAAATAAGTATTTTTCTCCAGCAGTGATCTTATATTTTCCAATTAGACTGAGCAAGAGTCATGCTATGCTATTCAAGATTCACCTATGTGCAATTAATGTTGCAATGGACATCAAATAAGTGATTTTTCCTGTTGTCATATCTCACTTTGCTATTTCCTTTGCTTTGTTTTGGATTTCTTTAAGTGATTTTGCTGTTGCTAAAATAAAATCTATAGAACCAGTGGGCACTTGGAGAATGATGTCTTCATGTGCCTGAATATTTTAATGGCAGAACCAAATAAACTCCTTGATATTTCTGCACCATTTGTATAACTTTGTTTGAGAATTGCCTATCTCTTACCAGCCCACTTGCCTGTTACACTTTTATTATCTCATGACTTGATGTGTTGTGCAGCAGGGTTTGAATTTTTAAATACTATCGTAATAGTAATCAGGGCTAAGCTTTCTAACTTAAGTCAAAATCAGACCTGACCCAAACTTGGGCTCTCAAATCCAGAGTTTTAATGTAAGTTTAATACTTTTTACATTCTCTTTTCTGGTATTTATTGTACGCTTCACATTTTTCTGCCTTATCTTTCATGGCAACATTTGTTCCTGGGCTCGGCTGCCTGTCTCAGGCTCTATTCTTACACTTATCAATAAACAAAAGGGCACTGCAGCTTACGCTCAGCATTTCTGACTCCATGCCATGTGCTGTTATAATAAGATGTCCTCTGGAAAAATTCTCTTCATATCCAGCACCATGATAGTCAGTTCATCTGCACAGAGGTAACTGAGTTTTTCTCCCAGCTTATCTGTTCAGGCTCTTTCCGCCCTTGCAAAGCTGTGTCGTTAGATGTCTCTTGTCTGTAAAACCAGGAAACCTCTTCTGACAGGCCACTCCTTGACTATTTATTGCATACTAACCTGAGCTTTGGATGCTGTTTACCTCGGTATTCTCTCAATACAGCAGGTCATGCTGTTTTATTAAATTTGCCTCTTTTTTTTTTGTTTGTTTTCATTTTCAATGAAGGTTTTCACTTAAGAAACAATTTTCAACAACTTTCCAAGTGTGTACTGCAGCCTGCAAGCTTTCTTTCTCCAAATTACTGTTCTTTTACCCATTTACTCAACAGATCCCTTATGAACCAGTCATTAGTAAGGTGTGAAGGACACCACTATTTCCCATTCATTGGTCCTGCCTAGATAGATGTACTTTTGAACTGCTGTAAAGACTTTCTCTAGCTCTGCGGCTATGATTTCACTGAGCAGTTTGTCCCCTGCATGCACCTGTGAAAAATGATTCACAGATACATCTGGATATCTCCACATAGGAGCCTGGAGGGTTTTGGCCTCTCCAAACTTTCTTTCATGATTGTGTGCTCATAGGAAAAATTGGATGTGCTATATCCATCTCCATCGAGTTCTCTTCCAGCTTAAAGGACACAAGCAGCTAAATTTGCTTCATTTGCCAAGTTATTTGACACGATACCATAAAAATGTGACATATTGGAAAGCTACCAAGAGATTGAAGTTTATTTCCTAACTCAGCTGTGGGTTAATGCTTCTGTCCCTATGGCAGCAGTTGCTTGTAATGAGCTGTACACACACAAAACAGTTTCCAGATAAAGCCTTCCCCTGATGCAGCTTGTAATACAACTTTGGTGAAACAAAAATGGCATCTTTGTTGTCAGAGTGGGAGTTATGGGAGTCATCCTCATGGCAGTAATTGCCAATTTGGTGTCTGGGATTGCTGAAGTGAATTTTGGGAGCTCTCCTCCCTCTTTTCCACTATGTTAGGCGGTGGGGAGCTGTAAAGATGTTTTTCACAGGACCACTGCCCTTGTTTCCCATTGACCCAGTTCACAGCTCTCAACAGGATTAAATAGCATGATAAGAAAAAAGCTTTTCATTCTGAAGTTGTAAAACTGACCCTCTTCCCCCTTCAAGAAGCCCCCTGAGGAAGACGAATATATAGGCAGGCCCCAACTGGAACAGATGTCAAAACTCAAAACAGCTCTTTCTACATAAAGTTTATAAGTATTTTTAAAGGATGTGGAGGAGCCTTACTATATGCAGCAAGATAACATTAAAATGCACAGGTTCTCAGGAGTTGAAAGGATGCTTTTCCTACAAACTCTCTCTTCTCTTTATCTTATCTGCATGGAAAGTAAACAGAAAGTCCCCATTACCTCTCGATATCAGTGAGTCTGGAAGAGTCACGGAATCCTTTAGCAAAAGGGTTGCTGTCAATTTTCAACTTGGTTATCTGGGAACACAAAAAAGAGCAACGTTACACGAATACAGTGTCAGGGTACTGCAGCGTACAAAGTGTTAACCAATCCATCCCCTGTGACTCCACTGCTCATTTTATCTGCCTGCCCCGTGTGTGTGCCCTGCTCCTGAGACGCTGGAAAGCTGAGGAGGCAAACCAGGGTGCACTGCAAATGTGGCAGTGGAAAGACCAAAGGGCACAGCAAGCTCAGCCTTCCTGTTGCCCAGAGCAGAAGGAACCCACTCACAGACAGCATTACAGCTTCCAAATGCTTTACCAGCATCAGTCAGCTCTTTTCCACAAGCAGCACAAATCACCCCACTAACAGCTGAGCCTGCTTGGTGGAGCTGCACATCAACTAACACAAGCCCCCACTACCTGATGCCATGACTTCACTTCACCACCACCTTTTTTTTTTTTTTACCAGGATGGAAATCTTCTCAGCCAGGCCTGCCAGCCACCACACAGGGGCAGATTAACTGGTTTGGTATGAAAAGAGGCAGAGGAAGGGAAGGAAAAATGTGGGGAGAGCTCAGGTTTAAAGTGACAGAGCTTGGATTGAAGGAGTAACCCCACTGAAACTATCGGAGTCTTGAAAAAACAGAGATCCTTAACATAAACTTCTTCAAAGGTACCTATAAACCTGCCCACTCATTCAGTCACTCTTTCCATCCTGACTTAGCAACCCATTGCCCAGGAATCCCTCCTGCCCCAAAATATATGAGCTCCCCTTTGTGGTGAAACTTTTCAAGCATATGGTGATGGCTTTCAATATGTTTTTTTTGAGGACTAGGAAAAAGAAATGCACCATTGCTCTTGTGACATTTTCTATCTATCCAGCCAATTTAGATTTGGTGAATAAAACCTGAGACATCATTGTAATATTTGGATTTTCCAGCCATACTTCTTCCAAGAGCTAAAAATAAAATTGTAAGTGGGAGTTAGAGCTTGATGAGAGAAAACACAGGACCCATCCTGCAGGACAGTGAATGCCACCAGCTCTAGCTTAAGCCCATGAAAATCAACAGGTCTCAGTATTTCATATTAAGGGGCTTTGTCAGCCTGACTTCCCCCCAAAAAAAAACAAAACAAAACAAAAAAAAACCTGTATCGAAAAGGCTACAACCTTATTTTTAATAACCGGGCCTCAAGACTCAGAAAAAAAGAAATAGGATCTTTTCCAAATCCTCAAACAATGAAACATTCTCATCAAACAAATATATTTCAAAATGGGGTGGCTTCTCCCCCAAAATAAAAAAAAAAAAAAAGGGGATAAACATATATTTATATAAAATGTAAAAAAAATAAAGAGGACAATTGGAACCAACTTTTGATTCTGAGAAAGAGGTCTTCTGAGGAAAACACAGAGAGGAAGGGACATGCTGACAATGGGAAATTCTGAGTTTTTAATTAACAGACTGTCAGTGGTCGAACACCATGGACCTGAGTGTTGGTGGAGGGTTTGAGGCTGTCTCATCACTCATGTACAGCTGGTGGAAACAACCTTGAAGCCTTGTCACAAGGACCTTGAAACAGCTCAGAAAATTAGTTATAGGTTCATTCTACTTCCTCGACATCCATAAGCCCCCAGCTTATGGTGATGTTGCGGAGTGGCAAGGTAGTGCCTCACATCCAGTGAAGATTTTTATGGCAGCATTTTGAAAATCACCTTGAAAAAAGGCAAGCTCTAACTAGTTCCATTGACTGAGATCACCGACACACCAAGCCAACTGCACTACAGAACAATAAGGATGTCTATTCATCTCTTGAGCATATTTTCACCAATCAAACTTCCATCTTCCTGATATTAAAGTTTTGGTATGACATCACAGAAGAAACTTTTTGTATCCACCAAAGCCAGATGAGACTCACAATCATTTATGGCCATATTTTTCCTGAGAGACTGTCTCACAAACAATCAGAGAACATCTGCTAGAAAGCATTTTAAAATGAAATCTGACCTACAATTCAACTCTGTGGCAGTGGTTTGACTGTTTAAATAAATGCATGCCCTTTAAATCTTAAATTATGAGATAGTTTGTTGAAAGTGTAATGTATTTAGCTTTTATCTAATAACCTCCAGAAATGTAATCAATCCCTTCTTAAAACAGTTCTGAAAGAAATGGCAAAAATGAAAAAAGGTTCCATTTTCATTAGTCATAAATAAAATGACAAGATCAACCTCTAGGGGTTCCGGAGATGTTCCATTGAGAAATTTTCCAGGACTCAATGTATGTGCTTTTAGTTTAGAAACATCTCTAGTGTAAATATCATCGGTAGACAAAAATCCATCCTACAGAAATAAATTCTGGGTTTAGCTGGTTTTATGCCTGTTACTATTTTGCTGGTTTCTAAAGAAAGTTACATGGAAAAATCTAACTGCCTGTCCAAACATTATTTACTTGGGATTACCAGGTGCTGAGTATGTTTTCCACAGCATTCAGATACAAATCTAAGTCTAAATCAATACATTAAATACTTAAAGCAGGATGTGGGGTCTGTAATAAGGACTGACTTAATATTACTAATATTATCTTCAGAACTTCCTTGGCACTCTATGCATTAGTTTCATTTTATTCATAGCATTTCTAAATTGCTTTTGCTTCATATTAGGAAATGCCTACTTCTTCAAATAATCCAGCAGGTTCCTTAACTCTCTGATGCTGCCTGCCCACATATTTGGGCAGTGCCTATATTTTTCTTAACTTGAGGGAACTAAGGAGCAAAATAGGTGGGTTTTCAGCAGTAAGTCCTTAAAGCATGCTCTGCATCACACTGAGGGCAACAACATATTTCCACTGGCTTAAATATTAAAGACCAATCCACCATCAAGCAGAGCCTCTGTTCTCTGATTGTTTATAGACTTCCTAAAATTACTCATTAGCAATCCATTGTTATGATCTCCTCCATTTTGTATATATTATTCACTGGCATGCAAATTGAAATTCAAACATCTGGATGTAATCTGGGCAGCCTCTGAAAAGCATATCTCTGAGTGATTTTCCCTATGTTTGAGCTTTACAGCTTAATTAGTCAACTTTCTAAGCCCATGAAATCATCATGTGCAAACCAGAATCTCTCTCAGTTCATAGCTTGTGGCATGAAAGATCACTGCAAATAAGAACAGTTCTTTAATGAGCTATAATTAGAAAATGACTAAATGTCAATATGCAAGCAGCTTTGTATAGACAGAGGGGAAGACAAAAGAAAGCCTCTGACTTGCCAGTTTCACTCTCATGAATAATCCTAACTGTGCTTTGAAGTCTGTACTGCTACTGTATCTTCAGGAGTTACTCATGAATGTGAATAAGATTGGCATGGAAAGGTAGGTTATAGCAGAAATTTTCCAAGTTTAGATTGGGCAGAAGGGAGTTTTCAGCGGGGTGGGATCTAGTTACATGTGTGGAAATTAGCAACTCTACTCACCAATTGATTCTGGTAGGCAGTAACAGCAGTAAAAACTGTCTCTGGAAAGATGAATGTTCTGAACTCTTCTGATTTCAGATTTAGCAAAGAAGCTGTGTGATCCTTCTTCTTAATGATGTGCACCCTTGGCTGGTACTTGTGCATGGAGTTCAAAATGATCTGCAAGGAAGAATGACAGAGCACTGTCCTGAGAGGAAGGTTGACAGAAACCTTGAAGGCTATAAAACCATGGAGGGGGTGGGGGAGAGGGAGTGGGGGAAGATCTACAGGGGAAGCACCTGAAATCTACCCAGTCAGGGGCTGGTTTTCAGAGCAAATCCTCCAGTTCCTTTGGGTAGTTCCAGGAAATGAAGGTGGAAAAGCAGGCATCCCAGGAGCTAGTCTCCTCTCACTCCTACGCCACTGATGAGCATGAATTTCTTGAGGCATAAATACCTGTTCCTACAGGTGAGGTGTTTTACATACAGAATTAGTCACTGCCAGAGTGTGCCCTGGTTGGCAGGTGTGAATATGTAACTCCTGAAAGCTAATGGCCAAGAGCCCCCACTTGCAAAAATGCTCATGTGCAGAATGAAAACAGTCAAAAATCCCTCAGAAAAAAAAAAAAAAAGACGGAAAAAATTAGACCCATCCAAAAACCTACTAACAGCAGCACAAACTGTCTGACCAAAAGTAATACTCCACATAGCCTTTCACTGTGGCAAACCTTTAAAACAAACTCTTTCAGGGGTGCTCTCCACCGCAGACTACCAAAAATGAGAGCAGGGAGGGAAACCAGTCCGGAACCCCCAGATGACTGGGTTTTGCTATTCTATCCTCATTAATAATTGTTTACGAGCTCCCAAAACAATTCTAAACCTAAGGTACCAACCAACCAATTTCAACGTTCACTGGAGTCAAACCAAGAGTCCCCCTTGCTTTAGTTACCACTGGCTGGAGGCCTGTTCGGCGGTCTCTAACCACAATATTACAATATAAGAATTAAATACAGAGCTCAGCTCACACCAGCCCTTGTTTTGGATATAATCACAGTCACAAGACAAAATTGGCAATGGTGTGGGTGGTTCTATTTTGCAGGGGCCATAACGACATTGCAGTCAGCTCCGTACATCTGGAATAGCTAATGTGCATTCCTCAGGAAGCGTTAACTTCAGCTGAAACATAGCAGCAGCAGTGCAGTATTTCATGCTAAGTCAATAAGAAAGGTTGCACATTGCATTGGAGTGGAGAGCTTAGAGACAGCTCTATCATGGCTACAACTTCCATCAGTGTTTTTCTTTGCTGCTCCTTTGGGGCCAATATTGCCAAGACTCACACTGGGACTTTGTGGGGAGTCACAGAGAGAGTAACAAGAAAAACATTGCAATGACAGTGAACCATCATCCTGAAAGTGTTGCATGGTTGCTTTAACCAGCTCAGGTCCTTTTTCAAAGCACTTCACCATTTTATATCGGAATATACTCAGTGAGCATGGACCTTGCCTTTAATATCCTTAGCACTTTTCCCTCTCTTTGTAAAATTTTGTCTTGCCATCCTAGTTAGCTGAAGTGCTCTAAGCAGATGGAAAAGACATTTTAAAGCAGGGTGTGTGGATGGTGATGAGCTTACTGAAGGGTTAGCCCACAGATCTTGGTGCTTTCCATTGCCTTTCATGGCCATGATATCCGCACCATAGAATTACATCTGAGCAGCAGTCAGGCGGAAGGAGGGAAAAGTTGAGAGCAGCTCCCACACATGCCCTTTCCTTTCACTCCTCTCTGAATGCAAATTGTGATAAAGGAACTACATTTCTCAAACAAGACCATGTAATCCCTTTTGAAAGTTTTCCATAAAATAGAGTGCATATGGATAACTTCCCTTGCGTGATACTCTACATTTCTTGTTCCCACCAGAGGCAAGTCTGGTCATTCATGTACAAAACAAGTACCAAATGCAGACAGGAGGTCACAAAACACCCATGGCCGAGGTAAATGTCACCATTTCCTTCATGTGAGGATCTGTATGTGTAGTTCTCCACCTGCACCCCACACAAGTTACTGATGACACACAAAGACACTCCTTAATATCTGTGCAACTTCTTGTGTTATGACCATATAAAAACAGCCCAAAGGAGTTAGATCCAGAGGGTGTTCCTCACAGAGTAGACTGCAAGAGTGGCCTCAAAGTCCAAGCAGTCCCCTCCTGCATGGTGTAGCTATCAGAAAATCCCTTATGGCAGCTTATTTTCAGTCCTGCTGGCATGTCCCAAGAGGTACATCAGGTGCCCATATATTCATGGCAGCTCCCCTGCACACACTTGCTGGCAGCCACAGGCCCTCAGCCACCCCATCTACCTTTGTGCTGACAGCCTGAGTCAGGGGAGACGACCAGGGTACCTCCTTACAGGATCCTGATTGCTGTAAGGTTAGGTAGGTTTGTAGGCATCTGGCTCCCACTGGCTACAGACCAGCAACCAGAAGCAATCTGGATGCCAGCTGCAAAATTCCAAGGTGGGTTTGAATTCAGGAACTGTGCTGTGAATGCCACTTCCATATTCACCAAATAATAGCATTACCGTGTAAAGTTTTCTTTCTGAAAGCATGATGGTTCCTAACTTGTGCCTGATTGACTAAGAAAACTTGGGCATAACTCCTTGTGGCTATTCCAAGACCCCTTTTCAGTTTTCACAGTTATTTATTAAACATGTTCACAGCTTTGAGCTTGCTTTTGCATAGATTCATGTGTTTGAGTAAATGCCAAAAATAATGCCAAGTACATTATTACAATAATGTGTACACTCTTGGCTCGCCTCACCATAAACCAGAAATGATGGCTTTCCAATGAAGGACAATGAAAGGTCCTAAAGAAAGTACTGTGTATGAAAAGTATCACTAAAAAAATGGGGGGGGGAAGTCACATTTATAAATATGTCACAGTCAGAAAAATGGCGACTTCTTGCTTGGCTGTAAAAATCTAGAGATAGGATCCATTTCCTTCCTCTGGTAAGGATATCTGAAAGTGTTTCCATGCAGTGAGCTGTATGCCATGCACACAGAGATAAGACTTCTGCCTGAGGCTTGGGGAGAATATGTGCATAACTCTGGGGTTACACATGCTGCTGAAAGTACACAATCAGAAACGCTTGCCAATCCCAAAATTCTCAGAATAAGAGAAAACAAACATATGTTAGAACAAACAAATGCCTCTCTTCTCTACTTCTTCCTTTTCAGGAAGGGAACCACCCTACAAATAAACCACAATTACAAATAAACCCAAAACTGTCTTCTGGATGGTGAAGAAAGCAAGCAACTAGAACAAACTGGAATCAGGCTGGATCCATTTTCCCTACCTGTAACTAGTATTCAAAGGCATCTTTTGGGTCATCCAAACTTCCTCAGGAGCCAACATGCCTTATCAAACATAATTAAAAAGTGAAGACTGGCTCTTTGAAACTGAAGGGAGAGATTTCAGGAGGTGTTTCAATTCTCCTTTTCTCTTTATACACGGGAGTTCATAAATGCCATGAGCCGTAGCACAGTACGCCCTCCTTAAAGCCTCCAGAGAACTGATTTCTTCCTTAAATCTACTGATCATCCAGTGATGGCATTTGCATAGCTTCAGTAAGGCAGCACATAAAACCTGACATCCTAATTTGGAACATAAACCCCCACAAAATATTAAAAAGAGAGTGCTCTGTGAAGGGGTAACACGTGTCACTCAAATCTCAATACAGGATCAAGCCTTCAGGGCTTATCCTTAACTGAGCACACAAACATTTCCATTGTTGTTGGCTGTCCAGAGCCTTTGTGTAAAGAGTGGGATCAACCTCTGCTTCTCCGGAAATTAATGGGAAGGCTGCGTCTCAAACACTGCAGATCATTTTCTCCTGCTGCCTGTATTTGAGACGATTACATCTTCTTGCTCTGCCACATGTCTCTGTTCCCGACAGCTCCTCAGACCTACTTCTTCTTCCTACTCCTCTGGGCTTCTGGGAACTGCAGCTCTCCTAACTAGCTTGCAATATACTGCTGCGAGCCCTTTATTAGAGGCACACATGGCCCCTGTTATGATGAAAAATGCTTCTTTTTAAGTGCTCACGTATACTGCTCTATCATCACTCGGCGATAGAGCCCACAAATCTTCCGCTTTGCCCTTCTACAGATTATGAAATAAAAGAGAGGAAAAAAGCAAAACCATTCTCCACTAGTCCTGAAGGGAACAACGGTGGGAACTGGGTTCAAGAACAATATACCCACAGATGGATCTCTACAAAAGAATGACACAGAGGCATCTATCTGGGCTTTCTTTTTGTTTATTTGTTTGGGTTTTCAGCTATTTTTGATGCTGTTATTTCCAGGATGCATTTTAAATTATCATGACTGCAGTTCAATTCTCAGTTCTTGAAATGAGTGAAAATTCTCTTTTGGATGAGAAATATTTGCACAGAACACAGCTGAGACAAATGGCCGCTGTCTCCCACAGTCCAGGCAATAAACACCACACTAGAGAAGGGATTTCTGATACATTGTATTCTGCAATTATTCAGCTGAACTAATTAGTTGCTCCTACACATGCTTTAGAATTCAAAATCATTCCTCTCTTCCCAAAACCTCATTTACTAACCCTGCCTTTATTCTCGTTCTTCTGAACTGAACTGCTCTGTTCTCAGCCTACAATTCTTTCAAATCTGTCCCCTTGCTCCTTCTGCCTTCCCTGAGAGAGTCACCAAGCCAGAAGCAACAATTTTAACTTTTTCTTTGCAATTTGGAGGCACTACCCAGTCGTTCCTGCATTTTACAGGCACTCTACAGGAGAGAACAGGATAGACAATACCTATTCTTACCGCCTACCACTAGGCACTCGGGTAACTACAATAGTTGTCCCCACTGATGGAGCATAGCTGGAACCTGTGGCAAGCAGCTCTGAATCCTATTCACCATCTTCCACCCTCAGGACTTGGGACAACAAACTGGCACCAATCAGAGCTGGGAGCTGTCTCCTTCAGAGGCCCAAGCCCACCCTGTGGCACCTTGACTTGCAGTTAGCCTACAGTTATTTCAAGGGCAATTGAGGCACACTTATGTTTTATAATGCTCTAGACCCTGCTTTGGTGTCAGGTCAGTATTTTCTTCTGACTCTGAGCCCATGCTGCGATGAGTTTGGAAGTAAAAGAGCTCTTGTTAACAAACCCAACCCTAACAAGTGGCCTGAAGTGACCTGCAGGGAGCTTCCAGGCACACATATAAAAGCACATGGGTTTGCTGGCCGTGGCACGTGGCAGAGCATACTGCCAAGTCACAGCAAAATGCAAGCAGAAGCACAACAAAAGGTTCATCTGCCTTCCTTCTATTCCTTCCTCTGATGTTCAGCTCCACCCTGAACTTGTCCTTGATGGATGTTTTGCCTCTAATGGAAGTAGGAGCATGATTTGAACCATTGATCCAGGCTCCACCTTATGAAATAGTACACAAAATCCTGACTTTGAAAGCTGCCGGTTTCTCAAGAGCAAAGGAACCCAAAAGGACCCTTAAACATGTTAAACCAAACACATTCCAGCTTCACACAACATCTTCCACCCCTGTGGTATGAAGGTCTGGCTAAAAGAGGTGTAACACGGGGACCGTAGCAGCCTTTTCCCACGGCAGTCTCTCTCCCATTGAGCCCTGTGGCACAAGCGAGCAATTCCTTTGTGATTTCTTTTCCCTTTCCCACCCATAGAGGTACTCACATGTCCATGCTGATCCAGCTCATTGTTGGTGAGTTTGACTTTTTCAAAGGACACCATCTGCTTCAGTAGTTGCTCTCCTGTGAATGGGGAGTCAGGGTGCACATACAACCTAAAAAACACAGGGGAAATGCCTGCTCAAAATAAAATCTCACCTCTGGGCTTCTGTGTGGGCAACACCTCGGTATGAAGTCAAAATGCATATGTCATTTTGCTTTTGGGATATGCGGTGGTTTCATGGGCATATCCTGAGAACTTAGGGTAATAAAAAGTTCCTGAGAACTTAGGGTAATACAAGTCTGCTGCTAGAACATGATACCATCTCCCCCAAATTAATGAATTCCTGAAATAAAGCAATTCATGAAGGACAGTAAAGCAGATGACTTATTTAATTCACTGGAACATAACTGAGAATCCTGCGTCTGAGTGCTAGACTGCTCCTTAACCATAATTATTATTTTATCCTGCTATCTAAAATAGAGACATTAACATTCCCTGTTGTGTCTTTTCCCAAATGAAAAATTGATCATGTCTTTCTCCACAGCTGTACTAACAAGCACTTAAAATAACAATGACTACAACTCCAAGAGAAAAAACATGGTGTCATTACAGAGATAATGGGGGAATGTAGATAAAGATGCATTTTTCTCTATATGTAACATTAAGCCGTGATAATGATTTTAACCTGCACTCGATCACACATTTGCTGCGGTGACGTCTGTTTATAAGAGGTTGAAGGCTGCAGTCCAGCACAGTGGTCTGACATGAAAAATCAGTTGCAGCTCTGCTATTAACAATCCTACACTTGGGAAATTAAGCAGAAGAAAAGGAAACAAGAAGACATGCAGATACAATGATATATACATTATGGCTACACTAATTACAAGTGCCATGCTATTTAAGAGCAATGATTTTATAGGGAAAATGTATTGCTGAAAATTATTAACTCAACTGTTCATTTGTGATGGCAAATTAAGAGCTGGACTAGATCTTCAGCTAGTGCAAACCAGCCCTGTTTTGCTACTGCCTGCACTGGTTATCACTCACTGAGGGCCTGACTCTCATTTTGGGTGATTTCTTTGGCCTCACAAATGACTTTCTTCCATTAGGTGGGTGGAGCAGGACTGAGCTGCCAGGTTAGGAAGATAAACATTTGTCCTTGTTGTTGAGCTATTATTTTAGAATGGAAAACCCACTAAATGGTGGGGCGTAACTCTCCAATAGAGCATGCTGATCCTTAATCAAGGAATGCCCATACTAAAGACGTTGGGTAGAGGAGCCCTGTTGCTCAGCGAGGAAGGAGATTTGATCCTGTATTCTGTTTTTGCCAGCAGAATCCCCAAGACACAGTGAAACTAAAGTTTTACCAGTACAGCTCGCCTCAGATGTGCAGGATGTTTTCTTTACACTGATCCAAAGCACAGCTTGGCTGCTTTAGCTATGTCCATGGGAGGGATGCTGAGCCAGGATTCCTGTCACAATAAAATATTCCTAGCATGCAGGCACCCTTACTGCTATTGACTCTGGTGATTGCCCTGCAAATCTCATAAAAAATGATGATGTATTCTGAAATACCAAGACCTGGAATCATGTTATGTCAAAAGAATCTTAGCTCTCATGAAAACTAACTTTACCTTCCTCTAAAAAACTGTGAAAATTTCAATATTTAGAGCCCTGAATTAGGGAAAGCAAAACAAAAATAGCGTCAAACGTGCCCTGCAAATTTTCAGCCAGTGTTGTGATTTTTTTTTTTGAGCCTGCCTCCTAATTTTGAGCGTCTGGATAGCTAATAATGTTTACTGTGATCGCAGAGTGTCAGACCCAGCAAAGTTTGGCTAATTGGGACCAAGAAGCCAAAGCATTTCAAATATGTGCAGGGAATGAGTAAAGACCTCCCTGTGCTGAAAAGCTGAGCACAATTGTTTTACACCATCATGGTTAATGCTTGGCTCTGCTTTAAAGCTACCAAATGCCTGTAAGCAAAGCGCTAACAGGAACGTCACTGAAGGATAGGAATATCAATTACTGGTATACAATAGAATAGACCTTACTTTTCTTTGCCCATTTGCTACACCCCAACAATCCCACTGCAACAGAGAGTTCCACCTGGTGAGCTACACCTATTTCCCACACTTCTCCCATAGCCCAAGCTTGCACCCCTCAGGGAAGAGGGTTAAAGGCTGGACAAAGCAATTTCTGAAGGAGTAGTTGTTGGCAAGACCACGAGTGTGCACAAGCAAGCAGGTCAGTGAGATAAATGTGCACTTTCCAGCATGGCACACGAGGCTCTCCCTGAAGTTTGCCTGGGATCTGCTGCCCAAGGCCAGCCAGATGTGAGGGACTCCTCGCTTGGATTCACAAAGGATTTAGGAGCCATATTTGGGTGTGAATTTGCTCCACGGTATATAATGTTTTATGATAGACACAAGGTTTGGGTACTGGCTTCTTTCTTGTGTATTTTGGAATGCAACACTGCACTCCCTCTATTTACTTTAACAGATGGTCTGGTCCCACAAGCCCCCTGCATGCTACTTTTATTTACCATAATGTCTCAATTTTCAAATATAATACCTTTTAAAGGTTTCCTGCCTAGAGTTCTCTGTAAGTCTGTAAACACTAAGTTAATCGAACAAATTATTGTAGACAAATACAGTTTAAAAAAATATATGGACAAAATTTTGAGTGAAAGAAATGAGGCAAAAAAGGAAAACAGGAAGAAGATTAAATAAAGGTACATGCTAAAACTTACTGAACCGATGTTTCACACAGTCTTAATAATGTGGAAGACAAACACAAAATATCACATAGGAACTCTATCCCCAGATACCACTTTAGAAGATTTACAAAAGACTTTCTGAAAAGTATTTTTATTTAAGTGCTCGTTGCAACATAAACTTGTTCATTGCAACATAAACTTGTCTTCAACATTGACAGCAGGAAGACAAGGATAAAACTGGTTTTAATAGAAAGTTCCCTGAAGGGCTAATCTTTCAAACAGAATCACAGAATACTCACTAATTTGAAGAAAAAAAAAAATCAAAAACCCAAAAAACCCCACAAAACTGCCATAGTGTTGAAAGTTATTTTTATAATGGAAAGAGTAAAACCATCAAACTGGTTCAATCCTGCAAAGTCTTACACCCAGGCACAATACAACTCCTGAATTATTCCCCTGATGTCACTGTGCCTGGGCAGATGCAAGCAGCAATGTGTATGTGAGGAGTAAGTAACTTGTTACCAGTTCCCAGACACTAAACACACACACAACTCCCACTGACACTCCTCAAGCAGGGAGAGCTAAAACCTATGTTTGGAGGACAAGAAATCAAAACTTCCTTAAGGGTTTTGTTAACTGGAGCAGGACCAAACTCGTTTCAAGATGGGAGGAGAATTACTTTTAATCTTTTCAAGCGAGACTGAAAAGATGCGTTAACTCTCTAGAACAAGCACTGGTAATGCAAACATGGGAACTCAACCTCTTGACATCCTTTTTTCACCTAAGAGACGTATAAGGAGGACAAAATTCATAAATGCATATGTATGTACCGTCTGCACAAAGAAAAAGCTATCTCTGCCTGTGCGCTGATCAACAGTCTGGTAAACCAAGCATCTTGAAAATGAAGCAGGAAAGGTGTACATTTACGTGTGGGGACAAAGCATCCTGAAAATGGAACAGCACAGATTTGCACACAGGGGCACTGATCTGCTGAGGACTCCCAAAAATCACCACAGTACAATAAAAATATCTGTTAAACTTCAAGAAGGTTTTATCCAATACTCAGTAGGGCAATTGCTAATTATTCCAGTCTCTTGTCTTATGTTCTAGTATTTCCTTGCTGAGCAAGTCTATGCCAGAGAGAGTGTGAATTAGAAATCTATTTAAAGGTATCCCAAAAGGGGCGTGAACAGAAAAATAAGAAGGGGGAAATCCTGCCTTAAAATTATTTCTGTTCTTCTGTTATTTCTTCTTTTGATGCTGATTCCTTTGGAGCAGGATCTGTGATTTTTCTTTGGGTTTTGATCAGTGCCCATTACAATACGTCAAATGAAGCCCTCAGACGTTAACCACACTGCAAGAAGGAGTTTTGGCCATGAAAACAAAGCAGACATAACTCCTAGGTTGCTGTCTTTAATCACAGCTTCTCTGCTTGCGCTTTTTGTTTGTTTACTTCCCTGAACAGCCTTCCAGAGATCACCAGTCACCAAGATTTCAGTTCAACTATTTATATAAGGAAATAGTGCAGAATTTGGTGCCTATACTCAAAGACCAAAAAAAATTTTGTTTCCATTTCTTGTGTTTCACTTATAATTTTTGCCTCTGTAATAAGCAAGTTCTTAACCCCAGGCTAAGCCACCTGGAGCAGATCTGTGCTCCTGCACTGAGCCTTCTGCAAAAAGTTTCTTTGAAGCCTGAGAGGCATCCGCGTTATTTCCATATCTCGGGTTCTGACTCAGCAAAGCCTTTCGACATGTGCTGCAGTCTCACTGGACTTGGGGACTGAAGTAGGTACAGAAGTGCTGGGCTGAATACGATGAAGTGTGGGTCTCCTCTGAAGTGCCCTCCCACTCTACAGCCCAGCGCTGCAGCCTCAGTTGCCCAGTGCTTAAAGGAATCAGTCATTAATTACATTAATGAAATGACTTCAGAAATTAAATTTCTAAAGCATTTTTTTTTCTGTAGAGAAAAGGGAATTTATTTTAGAGAGGTTATTTTACAGAGGGTTTTTTCCTGATGTCTCAGAATATGTCATGATCTTTTAACGAAAAGAAAAGTAACTGTGCCGAGGAATTGTTTTGTACTTTGCCTGCTGCCTAAGAGATGATTAAAATCAAGAAAAAAAATCATTGGTTAGCAAATGCTAGGTATTTTACAGAAATAATATAATTTCAAGCATAAACAGCAATGAACTGCAATTTGTTTCTACTTTGGCTTGGCTGGTGGCGCCTGGATGGCATTAAATTATGAGGTCAATATTGAGGGGAAAATCCAAGAGACATCGAATTTTTTTTTTTTTCAGTTTTCTTATCTGAATCACGACAAACTTAAATATTTTTTTTTTAAACCCCAGTATGTGTAAAAGAACTCTTAACCAAATTCTACATGTCTTGGAATACTAAGTATAAATCAAATCTCAAGCAGAGATTTGAGGCCAGATTTTGCAACACAAAAATTGTAATCAGAGTTTTGTAACCAGCTTTGCTGAACATGGAAACATGGACTCAAAATCTCAGAGCACTGTTTGCAAACAGAATTGGAAGATTAATACAAGATATTTCATGAAGGGGGAAAAAAAGACAAAAAAAAAAAAAAGTAGAGATAAATAAAAGAGCAGCAATAAAATCTACAAACCTTGCAGGGAGAGGAGGGTCAGCTTTTCCAGCCACTAACCAGGAAGACCTGTGGTAGGCATATCTGTATCTTTTATTGTCCACAGGAACTATATCCATTAACACAATATACTTGGCCTCAGGATCCACTCCCGAGAAGGAAACCCTGATCGTAGGAAACATTCTCCTAAAAAAAGGCAAATCAGAAAATAAATATTTAGGCAGAGAATAGAAATAAGAGAGCATCTGAAAAGCTGCTGAAAGTAAGAATTGTATTTAAATCCCCTGAAAAATTTAAAACATGTATTGATTTTGCTTCCACCTGATGGGAGTTAAATCTTGTATCTCTCTAATAAGGAAACAAAAATCAGTTTGAAATCGAAATTATATTTGAGAAAGAAAAAGAAAAACATGGTAAAAGTTGAATAAGGAAAGGAGAATATACTATTTGCCTGTTAGTTGAAAGTACACAACGATTTCAGAAAATAGTTGTAGCCAAGGTACATAGATACTCAGGAACTTGGATTTTCTTTTAATTATTTATATTTTACAGGATCTGTACTACTGTAAGGGAAATATTCCAGAAACTATTTCCGTTGTTATTCTCACATATTTTACATGAGTGTTTTCTTAAGCCTGCTCACAATATTTTTGAACGGAATTTTCAAAACTAAAACATTTATTTTCTGTACTAAACTTTTAACAAAGCACAATTTTAAAATGTAAGCTTATCCTGCAGACTAGAAATAAAGTTAAATAATTTTTGACAGTTTAAAATACTGAACTTTAAATTGCATGTTTTATACCTATTTAAAAAAAATACCGATAGAGCTCACCAGTTGGAAAAAAAAAATCTTCAGGCAACTACGTTAATAAAAAGTAACTTTGGAGATTATGAAACCTCAAAAGACATTTGGCTCCTCCGGACTGCGTTTGACTGACCCAAACCCCACAAGGTTTCCTGAAGAAACGGCATAGCTTGAGGTAAGAAGAAAGCCCGAAATTCTTTTGCGCATTTTTGCAACCGAGAGAAAAGAACAAACCAAACCAAGCTCTGACAGAATCCCTTCCCCACGACCCCGCGTTTCCCTCGGTCTGTAGCAACCCGGCGCCTCAAAATCACAGCAGGATTTTAGTCCCAAACCTGATTAATAGGGAAACAACACTAATTCCCTGCCGCCAGGACGCCCCGGGTGGATTTCAGCCGGCCCCGCGGCAGCGCACCCCACTCGCTGCCGGCCCTGGCCGCGTCTCCCTCTGCCCCAGAGGGGCTCCGCGCACCGCGCAGCGCCGGGCTGGGCCCGCCAAGGGCTGCGGCAAATATGGGGCTTCACCCTCCTCCTTCTCCCCTTAGCCCAGCCGTACTCTTCTCCCGATAAAAAAAAAAAAATATATATATATATATATACATATATATATGTATATATATGGGGTTTCGGTAACTTTGCCTTTTTTTCCCCCTGTCCAAAGCCGCTTTTCGAAAGATGCCCGGAGGGAAACCCAGGGGCTGCCCAGCCTTACCTCCCGGATTTGGTGATGATCATCTCGGTACCTAGTTCATGAAACTTGTCCCAGAGCTCTTTGGTCTCCAGGCTGCAGGAGATTTTAGCCATCTCCTCGCTGGGGATGATGGGGGTGGTGGGGATGAGGGGCTCGGTGCACAGGGAAGAAGGGCTGCTGCTAAAATCCCCGTGAGGGTCCAGGCTGGATAAATCACTCAAAGGCTGGGCGCAGGAGGATTTCTCAACGAATTGTTCTGCAGGGTTTGAAGAAAAAGAGAGAGAGAGAGAGAGAGAGAGAGGATTCAGCCAGGACAATGCGACCACCAACATAAGCTATTTAAATAGATATATGTATATATATCTATGAAATGCATTTATCGCTCAGCTGTCCGCGCTCTGCCCCAGCACAGCCGCAGACCTGGCCGATCCTTTAGGCGTCCCCTCATCATTTGAGGGCAGCGGTGGTGATTTTCGGTGAGATGAGCTCCGGGAAGGGCCCGCAGCGGCGCCAGTCCCCAGAGGCGCACCGGGAGAGACGGCCGGGGGCGGCGGGAGCAGCACGGCCCCGGCCTCGCCGCCGCCCGGCCGCGATCCGCTCCGCGGGGCACGGCGGGGCAGAGCCAGCCCTGCGCGCTGCCCCCTGCTAACCGAGGGGTTCCACGGAAAGGTCACTAATTCTCATTAAAACGGGAGCGTTGGGCGCCGAGGGGCTGCTGAGGGCCAGGGTCACGCTGGGGGAGCACGGGACGCTGCTCCTGGATTGCGCCGCTGGCAGAGAGCGCAACGCAGAAGGAGCCCGAGCGCGGCCGCGTAGGCTCCGCGCTTCCTTCGCGGGAAAGTGAACCCCAAATACTAATTAAACAGCGGGCACGGCTCACCCTCCCGGGAAAGCTGGGTCTGCCTTTCTCCCAGCCGGTTTGCTGACACCGAACCCGCTCCTTTGGAGAAACAGGCTCCGGGGGAGCTGCGTGCGGCCGCGCAACCTACGCGGGTGCAGTAGCTGCTGCCGACGCGGGCCGCCCGCCACGTCTGGCTCCCGCCGGCGCTGCCGCCCACCCCCGCAAGCCCCGGGAGCCTTCGGGCGCTTCAGCAGCTCCGCCGGGAGTTTCCGCCGGAGGCGAGGCCAGGAGGGAGCAGGGCTGCGGAGGCTCTGCCCGGCCCCGAGATGCGGCACCGGGATGCGGAGACGGATCCGCCGCCCGGCGCCAAAGAACGGGAGGAGCACGAACGCGCCCTGCCCCTCCAGGGAAAGGTTTTGCCTAAAGCTCCAGTTAATAAAAGCCGAGTCACAGGGCAGTCTTTTCCCTTTGATTTTTAGTCGAACGACATGAGGGAAGGGCTTAAAATTTTGAGAAGTTAAATTAAACAAGCATTTTCAGGGAAAGAAAATAAAAACAAACAAACAAAACCAAACGCACACACACACAAAAAACCCCAAACCAACCGCCCTAACACTAAGTTTTACACAAACCCATATAAATTCGTCGACCGGGAATACTACAACGTTCCCGGCCTACATTAGCGCCCAGACTTAAAACTGAAGTTCACAATGAATCCCTAGACTATGTGAAATCTTTTGAGACAGTTGATTAGGTGCAGCAGACACTGAGGAGCTGCCTTTTCTGAATTCTTTTAAGATTGAGTGTAATCCTGTTCATTGGCGCCCTGAAAGCTTAACACATATTTTGTAGTTTTCTGCGAATTCCTGGATACACGAAAGGATGATAAACCGCAGAAACTCGGACGGGGGAAGGAGGGGAAGATGTTCATGTTTTTAAAAAGCTTTCAGGAGTCTGAATCGAGGCAGGCGAATAGAGAGAAATCGCTTACTCGAAAATCGCAAATGCTTACAAAAAACTCCTCCCGGTCTACAGAGAGCAAAACAGCCTATATGAGCCTACATCGAAGAACTGTGGAGTGAAGGGGTTTTCAGTTCTACACACGAGTTTTACTACCCCTTGTAAGCCTAAGCACGACAACGGAGAGTCTCTATTTTGACTTCAGAATCAGAGTGGATTTGCGATATAAATTTAAGAGATTCATTTAATGTCAGCGAAGAAAAATTGAACTACCTTAGAATGTGGGATTATTCTGCAAATGGCGAAGCTGGATGAATAAGAGGCATAACTGAAACTAGAGGAATTTAGGAAACTCTTCATGCTATAAACAGGCTCGCCTAAAAACAGCCGTGGGTGATGAAGGCGCTCAACCTTCAAGCTTAGGTGGTGCTGCTTTCCTCTCTTCAGGGGAAACCTTGGGGCAGGGGGGACGCGCCGCTGCCCGGCCCGGCTGCCGGAGCGGTGAGAAGGGTGAGCCAGGGCGGACGGGACAGGACAGACGGACGGACCCCACGGACACCGGCGGTCACCCCCGTCCCCACTCACCCAGAGGCTTGATGGTGCTCTCGGGGGACTCCTTGTCCTTGGAGCTGCCGCTCGACATGAGGGCGGCGATGGAGAAGGCGTTGGCCCGGGAGGAGAGCTGCGGCTTGGGGGGCGGCGTGTACTCCATGGCCACTGTGCGGGGACGCGGCTCGGTGCGGCGCTGCCCGGACGGGGCGGGGGGGAGGACCGGCCGGGGGTGGCGGAGCCGGGATACCGGGAGCGCTCTGCTCCCGGCGCGGCGCGCTCCCCGCCTTAACGCGGGGCCGCGGAGATCCTATCGGCCGGCGGCCAATCGGCGCCGGGACACGTCAAGGGCCCCGGCCCGGCCCGGCCCGGCCGCGGGGAGGGGGCGGAGGCGGGCAGCAGCAGCAGCAGCAGGAGGAGGAGGAGGAGGGAGGGACGGACGGAGGGAGGGGAGGGGAAGGCTCTGCCCGCCCGCAGGATGGGGAGGGGGCGGCCGGCCCTCGGGACAGCTCCCTGCAGCCACTCCCCTTTTGGGCACCCCAGCCCCGCTCCCCGCCGGGGCCCCGGCTGCGGTTCGGGGAGCGCCATCCGCTCCTCTGAGCCCCGGCGGGGGAAGGAGGGGGCAGGCCTAGGGATACTCCCGAGAAGGTCCCTAGGCTATTCGCTTTGCCGAGGCAAGGAACGGCGGAAAGGCGCTTGAAAGGATGAAATGTAATTGTGATTTTTTCTGGTGCGTGTGTGTGAGTGTCAATTTTCTCTTTTTTATTCAAATATTAAAAGACCGCAGCTTTCAAAGCAGCCGTCTTCGTCGTTGTGTGCTTTCTGTTGGGACAGAATGTTCCTTAAGGCTGATCGTACCCTTGGTTTTGCTGCACCGGATCCCAAATATTGTCATCCCGGTGAGATGTGCTCGCCTCCACCGACTGCAGGTGAGACCCTTGCAGCATTCCCTTCTCAGCCAAACCAGTGCGTGGGCCGCTGATCGCGCAGTTTTCTTCAAATCCGTTTCATCGGTTGCGGCTAAATAGATGGCATTGATCAAGCACATAAGACAGAGAAAGTCGGGACGGGCTGATGGTACCAACGAGTAGTTTATTCCAAGGCGGTGATTTAAGTACGTTTCTCATCAGTACTCTTTCACACATACAATGTGAACACACTGTCATGAATAAATTAAACAAAGAAAAGCGGCGCATTTCATTAAATTCCTTTAAATAAAAATATCACTGAAGATATTTACTCGCTAGAACGACTCACAAGAGGACATGCAACTTTATCAATGAAATTCCACCTTTTAAACCTGGAACAGAATCCAAGGACTCTTATTATGCAGGCATGTGCCAGGAGCATACATACCCGGTGTCGATCCCGTTCCTACTACACTTAATTAATTATTATGGAGAAAGAATCACTTGGGTCACCCTTTCCAGCCAGTGGAGTGAGGAAGACGAAAAAGTGCTTTATCGCTTTGAGATCAGCGAGAACCAGCTGCAGTTTGCCCTTTTGTTTCCTGAATTTGCTAATAGATAGAATATCTATCGCAAACGGGACGTGCATATTTAGAAGCGCCTAAAGCGTCTGCCAGAGGATATCGGCGTGGCCCACAGCGGTCTGGGGGCCCGGTCTCGCCTCAGGCATTAACGGGAGGAGAAGGGCGAAAGGGGAGAGCCCAGCCAGCCCCGCGGCTGGCGAGCTGGGAGGGTCAGCTCACGAAGCATCGCCTCTTGCTTGACGCAGGGAAACAGAGACGAGAGGTTCTGCCGACACCAATCTTTAAAAAAAAAACAAACAAAAAGTCTCCTCAACACTTTACCACTTTATCCCGAGGGACATCCCGCCAGTTACGGGTCCAGTTTCCCTGCGCGACAGCCCCGCTCCTGGGACCCCTCCGGGAGCGGTCCCGAGCTCCTGCCCCTGCGCTCCCTCGGCCCTACCTGAAAAGCAGGGCCCGGCCTGTCCGAAAAGAAAGGCTAAGGAGGGTACAAACAGCTGGGGAAATTACCCTCTTCACCTTTCCTCTGGTGGTAACAGGGATGCCTAAGTCTCCTTTGGTTCCCTACCTACTGTCCGTGCCGCGCAAGTAAGGATAATAAAACCTGTCAAAGCAATAGCGCAGATCCTACCAAAAAAGAAGAAGAAAAAAAAATCACCCAAACAAAAACCCAAACAAACAAACAAACAAAACCCTAACCAAAACAAACTAAAAAACCCAAACAACCAAAACCCCAAAAACAACCTATCTTTTTCCCTTGCTTATTTCCGTCCCCCAGCAGTGAGGTCGTAACATACCTGTCCCTAGCAGGGGCTGCCCCGGTCCACTGGGGCTGAGGGGAGAGGGGCGGTGGGCGACTGTGGATATCTCTGTGCGTCCGTCTGAGAAGCGGCTCAGCGCAGGCAGCTGAGGCAGCTCCGGGCCGATTTCTGCTCTCCCTCGCTGCGGGATTTCCAGTCCCGCGGGGCGACCGGTCATTGCCTTGGCCTGGGGGAGGAGGACTCGGCCGCGGCGGGGGGAAGCGCTGCGCGGTGAGCGGGGCTCGGCGCACCCGGGCGCGGAGGGGAGCGGAGCGGCGGGCCAGGGGGAACGGAGGCCGCGGAGCGGCCGTGGAGCTGGGACGGGGCTGCCGGTCACCTCCAGGTAGGAGGTTTCCCCCGGTGAGAGGAACGAGCTTTAGGGGCTTGCAGATCTCTGCTCGTACCCTTGGAAGTAAAAAAACCGGAGTGGAAAAAACCCAGGAGATTCGTTTTATTTTATTTTAAACGGGTCCGTCCGCACGGGATGCCTTTTCCTTTGCTTGGTTAAGCCATGCAATTTTTCGCTCTATCCGACGAGGATCTGTATATTTTAGGGTTTTTTTTTTCCCTCGCTCCGCCTCTGATAAGGCAATGAGCGTTGTCTAGACGCCCAGAGCACCCCCTCCTTCCCCGTGGGCAGGGAATGGGTCTCAACTCCGGCCGTCTAATCCTCGCCACGGCTCCCTCCCCCGCCGGGGCCGAACTTGGGAGACACAGGGATCAGGCAGCCCGAGCGCGGAAAGGGTGAGAGCCCGGCTTCCCTGGGCTGCTTTGCCGTCCCTGCCCACGGCCCTCTCCGGCGACGGGCCGGCTTCCAGAGACCAGGGGGTGGCAGGGGAACACACTACTACCCTAAAGCTCTTGATGCCTCTCTGCTTTCCCAACCAAGTGGATGTATTTGGAAACGTCCGCACGCTCTTCCCAGGGGATGCGAACCGGAGCTGCCAGTCCCCGCCGCGCCCAGGCACAGAGCGGCTGTCACCACTGTACCGACCCCTCCCGAGAGCAGAGTTAGCAACCCTGCTGCTCCCCAACAGGGCGGTCGCCTCGCTTGAACCCGTTTCAATTAAATCCTTCGTTATTGTTTATCCTTACATGAAGAACACGCAATCTACAGTGCAGTTTGTTTTTAATCTAGCAAATCCATGTGTTTGTCGCTGGTGTCAGCCTGTTGTGGCAGAGACATTTCATTAGGCTTCATTATTCTTTCAAAATACTTTTTCCCCCCCACTTTCCTTTGCCTAAAAAGCTCCTTACTCTCTTGTGCACCAGAAAAAATAGAGTGCGGTAATCGCTGTACACCTCATCGCACTCGTTTGGTTCCCAGCTTTAATCAGGACTAGGTCTCAGTTTCGTCGTCAGGTTTCAAACAGAGAGCTTGCAGCCCGCCTCCAAAACCCCTCTCTGATCCCTGAAGATCCAAGGAGAAAGCTCGATCCTGTGAAAACCATGAGCGCCGCTGCTTCCCGGCCCTTTCCTCACCTAGAAAAAAATCACGACGGGAACGACACACGAGGGACGGAAAACCCTCAGAAATTCGCCGAGCAACCTAGGGTCCGGAGGGATGATTTCAGGTGCTCCTTCGCTTGTGTGACAAGAGTTCCGACGCTGCGCGTTTCCGCGCGGCCGCGCAGGCCGGCGGGCGGGCGGGCGGGGTGTGCGTAGAGGGGCGCACACCGCGCGGGGATCCATGCTCAGGTTTTAAACAACTCTTTCGCGTAGTGATGAGGGACTTTTAGGTTGCCCTTTTAGGTTTTTTTTTTTGTTCCCGCAAGAGCCCCCACGCCGCACACTTCACGCCACAGAGGCAAACCTGGGCTGCGGCACCCGCGGGGCTGCGTCCCGAAAACGGGCCCGGCACCGAGCCGAGCTGACACCCGCTCTTCCCACGGCTGTCCCTTGGGATAACCTGGCGTTTGCCTCGATCCTTTCTCCTCCGTTACTTCCCCGTCTCCCCTCCGGATCCGTAGCCTGTGGGGAGGACAAGGACCACGTTTAATTGGGAGCCTACGGGTGCGGGGTGCCGCTGCCGAGACCCTCCCTGCCGCCGTCCCACCCTGACCGCTGCTGGCCCGGTGCTGCCCGGGGCGTGTGTCTGACCCTCCAGCCCGCAACCCCTCTCAAAGGTAACCTACAGCGCTGCTTTGGGATTGAGTTTACTCCTGCCTCAGGAGGGAAGAGTAAAATCTTTTGCTCTTTCTTATTTTTCACCCCTGTATATAAAAAACAGTTTCTCCACCACAAAGAATGGGGTTTATTCTCTCGGGCAGGGTCTTCGGCTCGCCCGTTCGTGCCTTGTCAGAGCACCGCTACTTTACAAAGCCATGGCTACAGCGCTGCCCGGCTCCGGGAGATTATCAGCCCTGCTTTCAGGAGCTTTTTTGTCCTGCTCTGCACGTAATTCTATTGCTCTGTCCGCCGGATTTCCCCTGTCTTTGCGCTCCCCGATTTCGGAGCAGCTCCCAGCGCTCTTGCTGCAGCGGGGACGTCGCTCCCCTGCCGCCGCTCCGTGCTCTCCCCTCCACGGAAAGAGCCGCGCCAGCAAGGCAGAAGCCTAGGTACCTGAGATCCAATTTCACAACAAAAACAGCTCAATGTCACCTACAGCGAGAAGGTGGCTTATTGGAGCAAAATGCGAGGCGTTTTAAACCTATTAGGCATCTTCCAGATGCAAATCCAATGGTGGAAAGAGAAAGGCTCTAATAAGACCCGAGGGCTGACAATTAGATTATAGTGCAATTGCCAGTGGATAATGTGCTAAAAGCTTTCCCATTTAGTGTAACTCCTCGCTGAAAATTATTCACACTTTGCAGGCTGCCGCGCTCCTGAACGGGGGACGTCTTTGTCCGCGGAGAGCACGAACAGCCGGGTACGACAACCCAGACACACACAG